TTATGACTTCATCAGATTTAGAAGTTTTCATGCTAAAAAATGGAAGTCTTTCGGCGCACAATTTTCAAGCAGTAGCTGTTAAAGAGAAACGGATAGAAAATGGAAACTTCGCCAAGCTACCATAAATTCCTCAGCATGAACTGGGAGCTGTTCCACATATTTTGATAAATATTTGGAAGTCTAGTTTACCTAGAATTTTACGGTTCGCTATTCTGAGATTTCTAGAGGAAGATATTCATGTTTTAGTACTGAAGGGTCAGCATATGAATCCTAATTCTACAAGGACTCTACTTTAGATTAATCCGAATTTTATTCTCCTATTTTGTATAGGATTTTTCCTATTACTTTCCCATAACCCTAGCACTATAAAAGGATGTCTTTAGGTATTTTTTGGAGAGACTAAAACTTTGAGAGAGGTAAGGAGAAGAGACTTCAACTTGGAAAGAATTGGAGGCAAGGAGAAGAGATCTACCTACGGCTTCATCTTTTTCTCTTGTACTTCAAGTTTTTGAAAGGTTTGAGGTTTGATTTTTTTATGATCATAGGTAACAAAATCTTGTCTAGAGATCCGATGTAACCAAACATGAAGGTTTTTATGCATTGATTAATTTTATTGTTCTATTGATTCAATATATTTCTAGTTTCATTAATTGCACTTAATTTGATCTTAATGTTTTGTATGAAATAAGTATGGTAAACATCATATGCTAACTTTAAAATACAAAACAATTGATTGTTTGAGACAAGTTAAGGTAAACATCATATGCAAACCTTGAATAGCTCTTTTGAATGGTTGGATTGTGTTGAGGCAAACATAAGGCTAGATACAATTCGGTTCATATTTTGAGTACTTCTTGTTCTTAATGGGTTCTTGATTGTTAGACTTTACTAAACATCCTAGTGAGTTTAATGGTTAAGAATACTTGGTTAAACCCGAACATCAAACAATAATACCATAATGATGGAAGACTAAACCCTAGGAATTGGGTTGAGACAGCAATAAATTAATTATTAGTAGAGAATTGGATTGTTATGGTGAAATCAAATACCTTGGTTTTTATTGCATTGGTTTTCAATTAATTTTTTATTTTTTTATTTAATTCAGTTGGTTAAGAATTTATTTTGCTTTCTTAGTAATTAGTTTAATTTCTTTTGTTTATTTTATTTGTTTAATTAAGGCATGGTATATTAGGATTAATTGAATGCCTACAAATCTCTGTGGGATCGACCCTTGCTTTTGCACACTAGACTACGATAGCGATTCGTGCACTTACAAGGTATTAAAATTGTTCATCAAAATCAAAGGCTCACCATCGCTTGAAATGAACCCATCAGGTTGTTTCATATAAACCTCTTCCTCAAAATCTCCATTGAGGAAAGCTGTTTTCACATCCATTCTATGTAAATCTAAATCAAAATGGCAACTAATGCAATGATGATGCGGAAAGAATCCTTTTTAGAATTAGGAGAAAATGTTTCTTTATAATCTATCCCTTCCCTTTGCGTGAACCCCTTGGCAACAAGCTTAGCCTTGTATCTCTCAATGTTGCCTAATGAATCCCTCCTAGTTTTAAATACCCATTTACAACCAATAAGTTTCTTTCTAGTAGGCAACTCAACAAGGTCTCAAACTGTATTATCTGCCATAGAATTCATCTCATCAATCATGGCATTATACCACAACTCAGATTTACTACTGCCTATAGCTTGTGAAAACGTGTCTGGGTCATCTTCAACACCTATGTCACAGTCAGACTCTTGTAGATACACTACATAATCAGTAGGAATTGCTGATTTCTTTGTTTTAGTTGATCTCCTTAATGTTGTATCAATAGTCTCTTCTTGAGACTATTGCACAACTGGTTGTTCCTCTTATGTTGGAGGTTGCTCATAATGATCTTCTAAAACAATCTCATCAAAACGTAGACTTTGAATGATTGGTTCCTCATTATTCACCCTGTTTGGATGAACAACCAATCTTTTACTTGATGTAGGAGCATTATCTAAAACATTAATTTTCTCAAAGACTAAGTCTCTGATTTGATCACTCCCACTGATGATGCGTGTTTACTACAACATGCAAAAATAGCAAGTATACTAGTCGCTCAAGTAATAAAGTGATGGGTAGGATATCGTTCCCACGAGGATTGTTAGCAAAGCACTAAGTTTCCTAACGTTATCAAGTTGAAGCAATCGAATTCTTTGGATTGGTGGGAGCAAAATGTAATGAAAAAGAAAACAAAAATGAAATTAAACAAAGAATTAAATCTTAATTAAGAAAGCAAAATGAAACACAGAATATCACTTTAAACAAAGCGGGCAGGGTTTTGACTTCGTTTGGATTTTTATGGGTTAAACCTAAAATTATACTATATTCACATTCATTACTATAATGGTGATTACCCAAGAAGCCTAACATGAATTATTTCTCAATCTCATCATGTTCATCACATACAGCATTCAATTTCAGAGTAACACACAACCAAAGCTTATTCACATGGAAATAACACAATCAAAATACTTAACCCATTTAAAATTCAAACTACAATCAAAACCCTAACCCATAAAAGATTAGTTCAAAGCTAATTTAATACTACATAACCGAAAAATAGAAATAAACAAGTTAAACATAAGAAAACTGAGATGAAAGATAAGAAATCTCCCCAAAAGATGAATCTTCTAGTCAAAATCTGAACCTTCTCTCTTAAACAATCCGAAAAACTCAAGCTTTACTCTAAGAAAAGTGTAAAAACGGCTAAACCTAAACAGCTCAAGCTCCCTTGGCAAAAGGTTAAGTTTTTCTTTTATACTTAGTCCAAAAACCCAGCCAAAAACACGCACAACACGAAACTGTGCGTTTACAAAACTGAATAAGTTGACTGTCGCCGCGGCGAAGAATTCTTCTTCGCCGCGGCGAAGACAATTTCTTCGCCGGGGCGAAGCTCCAGCGAAGTATGAAGAAATCCCAAATCGTTACTGACTTACTTCGCCGCGGCGAAGACAATTTCTTCGCCGGGGCGAAGCTCCTTCAAAAGTTTTGAAATTACAGAACTGCCACTCTGCTTGCTTCTTCGTTCGATTCTTCGATTCTTGGCTGTCTTCTTTGGGAACAAGCTTCATCGTGCTTTGTCCTACTCCGAAACTCTCCTATCTTCTGAGATCCGCTAATTTCTGAGTCAAACTATCCAATTTTGTCTTTATTTGCTCAAAAAGTCCATTTTAACCTGAAACACGAAAAGTAAAGAATTAAGCACCAATTCAGGTAAAAATGCACTAGAAAGTACCTGAAATCCGACAAAAAAATCAAATAAAAACTGTATAATTTACGGATTATCAACTGACCACGCCATTCTCAAGAAATTTGGCATTTCTAGATTCAACAATTCTATTGAAATGGTTCGAACAATAAAACTTACATCCCTTGGATTTTTCAGCATATGCAATAAAATATGCACTAATAGTCCTAGGATCTAACTTTCGTTCTTGTGTATTATACTTCAACTGGACAACCCCAAACACGTAAATGACTTAAACTCAATTTCCAACCTCTCCACAACTCGAATGGCATTTTGGGAACCGCCTTAGTTAGAATTCGGTTTAATATATATGCTACAGTTTTAAGAGCTTCGATCCACAAAGAATGAGAAAGTTTGGCATTACGTAGCATGCTCCATACCATATCCATTAATGTTTTATTTCTTCGTTTTATGAGATGGTGTGCCAGGCAAGGTGCATTGAGCCACAATACCTTGCTCTTGAAGAAATTTAGCAAATGGACCAAGTGCTTGTCCTGTACCAGTGTATTTACCATAATATTCACCACTACTATTAGATCTTACAATCTTAATTTGCTTTCCACATTGTTTCTCTACTTCTGCTTTACATGTTTTGAAAGCATCCAACGCTTCATCCTTGTGATGAAGCAAGTAGAGATATATGTATTGTGAGTGATCATCAATAAAGGTGATGAAATATTTTTACTGCTAGAGCTCATGTCAGGGCAACAAATATTTGTATGTATGATTTCTAAAAGTTCATATTACATTTCTTAGATTTGTTAGTTTGCTTTCCCTTAATGCAGTCTATACAAGTATCAAAGTCAGTATAGTCAAGAGTTTCAAGAACTCCAGCATTTACCAACCTTTTAATCATATCAATAGAGATGTGTCCTAATCTCCTATGCCACAAAAAAGAAGAGTTTTCACTCATAACAGTACGTTTAATACCAGTACTAGCATGTGAAGTCATTAAACTATAAGGAACAATATCAATTAAATGAATTTTAAACAAACCAACAACCATAGTGCCATTTCCAACAATATATGAGTTCTTAATTAAATTAAAAGAACTACCATAAAAGTTGAAAGAGTATCCACAAGATACAAGTTTAGAAACTGAAATTAAATTCCTAGAAAAACTAAGAATATAAAAGGTTCGTTCCAAATCCAAAATAAAATTAGTACTTAAAATAAGTCTAAATGTTCCAACAATTTCAACAAGTGAAGGCATCTTGTTTCCTGAATAGATGTTGCATTCACTTCCCATCGGTTTCCTTTGATCCAGATAACCCTGTATGGTATTAGAAACATGGATTGTAGAACCAAAATCAATCCACCAATCATTATGAGAAACATAAATCATACTAGATTCATAACACACAAGAGATGTGAGGTTACCTTTCTTGTCAAGCCAAGTCTTTCTTTTAGGACAATCCTTTTTCATGTGTCCCTTTTTTTTTTTTTTTTTTTACAGAAGAAACACTTGGTGTTGTCCTTATTTCCTTTGCTCATAACCTTATTAAACTTGTCTTTTCCCTTCCACTTCTTATTCTTGTTTGAAGTGTCCTTGACATTTCCCATCACCAAATGTGTAGTTTCACTAACTTTGTGAAGCAATCTCTCCTCCTCTTGAACACACAGTCAAAAGTTCATTGATTAACCATTTAGCCTTTTGTGTGTTATAGGATATCTTGAAAGGAGTACAATGAGATGAGAGAGAGTTTAGGCATAATGCACTAGAAAATCATCATTAATCACCATTTGAAGGGACCTCAACTGAGCAGTAATGTCCCTCATTTTCACAATGTGCTCACGAACTCCTTTAATACCTATGAGCCTTATGGATGTCAACCTACTCATAAGGGTGCTACCTAATGCTTTACCTGATGTTTCAAACGGAGCATGAATAGCATTTATCAGATCCTTGGCATTCTCACACTCTGGTATCAACCCACAAATACTACTCATGATGTGAGATTTGATAAACATCATGCTTAAACGGTTGGATCCCACCGTTCATACAAAGCAATCTCAACCAGAGTGCTAGTATCTGTAGGTGCAGTTGGCTCTTCCTTACGAAGAACGTAGTCAAGATCAATGCACCCTAAATGAAGAAGGACAGCCTCCCTCCACTTTTTGTAGTTGTCACCACTAAAATAAGGAACTTTATCCTCAACCATCATCAAAGTTTGATCAATTGTAGGTATATCAACATATATTTCTACTAAATAAATTATGAGGCACAAAGTCACAAACCATCAACAACAATTATAAGTTTATCAATGTAAAACAAATAACAAATCATAAATGAATCGACATATCATAAAATCTCCCTGTGGGTAAAGACATTACATATCATGATTCATTATCCTTTAATGATGAAACTAAAAATTATTAATATTTCATAATACCTGTGGGCTAATTAAGAAATAAAAATAATTTCTATTTCATCCTAATTAATCATGAAAATATAACATTCCATGTGGGTAAAATAATTATATCAACATGATTTACTGCAAAATGATGTTGTTAACTTTAATATGATCATAATTAATATTACTTAATGCATATATTATCATAATTTAGATGCTATGGCCACTCTAAATTAATCAAACATATACGATCATATGACACCACATAGTTATAATATGAATTACAGCATATAACTCAAGATAATACAAATTAAAACAAGAATATCACATGAAATTATGCATTACAGACAAATACACACTAGAAAAACCATTACACATGTCGTCATCGACCTCACGTGCCTCCACGCACGACCACAACACCTCCACACCTCTCTATGCGCCGATAGGCGCTGACAAAAGCATTGCATACGCGTCCACACGCCTTCACGTGATAGCACACGCCTCTAGAGGAAGCCACGCGCCCCACACGCTGGGTCAAAATGGATCTAAATAACCTATTGACTGGGTCTCGTTGACCCGTTGTAACCCACTAACCTGATTTGACCGTTGATCGGTTCATTGACCCGATTTGACTGGTTTGTTGATTGGTTTGACTTTAGATTGGTTTTGATCGGATGAGGTTGGCTCATTAGGTCCTTGACCGAGGTTGACTGGGTCAAATTGACCTAGTTTGACCTTTGACTTTGATCGGGTCAAACTAACCCGTTTTAGCCTTGACCTGGTTGATTTGACCTGTTGACACGGTTTGACCAGTTCTTCTTGACCCGATTTTTGCAACTTTTTAACCCATTTTCAGCAATTGTTAACAACCTAATTCTGACCATTTTTCTAACATTTTAGAGAGGAAACTTGAACGTGGACGTATGGCCTATGTTGGTGGCATCCCAAATGACGTTTCCATCCCAAATCGACTGTTAGTGAACGACCCACTTACGCAGCGGAAAACAAAAAATGTAAATGGCATGGATCGTTCCTTAGAACCAAGATCCGGGTATAATATCACAGTTTGTACAATATATAAATTAAATCTGCAGAAAATCAGATTCAAGGTTCAATAATCTTACGCACGTTTGGAGGCTCCACCAAATTTGTCCTTGAACGTTTTGCTACCGACCCAAGTGTAGGATCGAACCGATGAAGTCTACACGAAGACAATCTCAAGGAACTAAGGAGGGATTTGCTAGGTCCTCCTTAGCCTTAAGAAACAAAGAAGAAAACGAGTATTTGATTTTGGCTAAACCAAAATCTGAAAGTGGCGTGGGAGAGTTTTTCTCTCAAATGAAAAAGTAATCAATGAATAAAATGATTTCACACACTTTTTCAATTAACACCTTTTCTTTTATAGTCTTATTTTACTTGCCCTATTCCCATATGGAATGGGCTTGGGCTCCAACCCAAACATCCCATGTTTCCAAACACCCCCTAATTAGATATTTATTTTAATTCATCATTTTCTTCAATTAAAATCAATTAATATATATTTAATATATATATTAACATTTAACAATAATGATAATTTATTTAAATATATGCGAACACATATTTAAACCTAATTTCACTTATTTAATTTTTATAATAAAATTAAATAAAGGCTACGACCTCAGCAAATTTAATTGCATTGTGAAATTACCAAAATACCCTTTCATCCAAAAAGACGAAAACGCCCTTTTTTCTTCCTGGCTCTTAAATTATCTTCTATGTATGTGACTCATAGGCTCCTCATCATATCGGCAGTGTATAATATCGCGATTAACACCAATTAATCGTCTCACTAATACAAAGACCAAGATTGGCCCCTAGCAAGGCATCATGGCCACCCGATAGATTCGGATTCAGCAAAGTAGCTACCTGTCAACGATATGGTTACCGTACAATTCGATCCTTTCATCATTCGTTATCTCGACGAGACGAAGGCATAGAAATAGTGTCAACCTTCGGTTACTCTCGATATTATTTATTCAGTTTCTGGACCAATGACCCGTATTATAAACTGGATAGAGCAACAACTCAATCCCACTGTGGCCACAGTTTTAGTGTCATTGCCATATACTGAATTGCGCCGTGAGATAACTTTCTCCCGTACCCGGGAGTGATAAATCCTCTGTCAATCCACCATAGTCTTGATACACTCCTTGATGCAGCCAATCACCACCGTATTGACAGCTCTGAAAAGAACTGCGTTAGGCTAGTGTCAAACTACACCAATCGGTGCACAAGGCGCTCCGGTGATCTCAAGTCTAAGGATCACATGCACCACCATTCGTTAGAGGATTTGTTCCATAGACACTGGGGTTACCATCCATATGGAATCCTCTGGTGGGTCAGTCCAGTGAACTTGCTGTGGTGTAATCGCCTACAACAAACACCCATGTGTTGCACCAGGTTGTCACCAAACAACCTTGACAAGTGAGATCAGTCATTGCCTCTCGACAGGGTCGTTCAACACTATGATAGCCTTACCGTATTATCTGTGCCCTTACTTCAGAATAATACTGGGGCTACGGATGTTTCTAGAATGGCCACCATATGTGCTCATAGGTTTCTCACTATTAATATTTGAAACATTTGATACCCTCGTCACGGTTCTATCATTCTAAGGACATATATCAATACATATTGCAATAATAATGATTTACGCGATATAGAATAAAATGCCTTTTATTGATTAATGAACATTATTACAAATAGTCAATTCTACAATAATTGATTGGCTCTGGGGCATCTACTTTAACAATCGACACCGTAAATGGCTGCCGAAATCATCCAAACGTGATTTTTACCGAAAACTTTAAACTAGCGTAACTTTGCAATCACAATTCTGTTTTTGACAAATAATATATCGTTGAAAAGCTTTTTCAACCAAGATTTTAATGATGCCAAAATAAAAAACAGATATGATTTATACAAGAAATTATGTTCTATTTAGAGTTATGAGTTTTAATATAAAAAGTCCCAATTTTCATGCAATATATTCCAAATTTGCATTTCAAAAATTCAATATACATCACATGTCAACAGTCATACCAGACAGAGATTTTAAACAGGCTCTGATACCACATGTTAAACATTTTATTCATATCAATAAACATGTATATAGCCAAATCATATAAATCCATATACATGTTCATATACAAATACAACGGAAATAAATCAATACTACTAACCTCCAGCCATAGCAATTTGTTGTTGCTGTCTTCTTCAAAGATTACAGATTCTTTTAATGCATTGCAATTCTCAGAACGATAGTTTTGGGAATATCAAAATTAATTGTATGTATTGGAGGCCTGTAACTGCTCCCCTTTTAAAATACGCAAAAAATATTTCCATCTAAGACAACTGTTGGGATAACTGCTCAACTGCTGAAAAACTGCTTAGTAGTTAAATATTATATAAAACTAATAAATAAAAGTGAAGGACCTAATAGTAATTAATGAATTAAAATTGTAACATAGTTCTCTCTACTAAACATCTCTTTTAAGCCACAAGTTGCTCCCCGAATAAACCCAGTTTATTGGTTGCCTCCCCCTCCTTGGATCAAAAACATCGATGGTTTTACAAAAGGCAATCTAGGTCCAACAACCTACAAAATCATCTTTCGAGATGCTGATGGCTTTTGCTTAGGTTGTTTTGTTGGGCCTCTTGGCCATCGTGGATCTATTTATGCTGATGATGTCGACCTGCCTCTCCCTTCTTAAAATGGATTTTATCCTCTTTGCTGGGGTTTATTAAAAAAAAAAAAAAAAAGTCTTTTATATAGCAAAATAAGTTTTTGATGTTATCATATACAAAATAATTAATATTGGAACTCACACTCTTATTTCAACGAGGAGATAATAACAATTTGAATTAGACACATAGGAACTAAAATAACATAAATGTGACATTTAGCCTTCTTGAAGATAAAAACAAATCATAAGAAAAACATTTCCATGAAACAACACAACAATAGAGTTAATTACACTGACCTCTCCTGAGTTTTCAACATTTTTAAGGCGTGTAGAAAAAATGATTAGATTAACATAGACACCCACCCCACTCCATTAACTCCCGTTAGGCTCCATTAATTGAAAAAGTTCCTTACACCCCCTCAAACATAAAACTTGCAGTTACCCCCACTAACTTCCTTGTATTTGTTTTAAAAAACTGAAGAAAAAAATATTGTACTTCTTAAAATATATATATTTTTTTAATTGAAAATTTAAAAAAAAAAAAAAAGAGAGAGAGAGAGAGTGATCATTGATTCTAATGATCTAAGAATGATGGTTTTGACAATGAGTAATACTAGCCTTACAAATAGGCATACAAAAAGACAAATCCAACCCTTAAAATTCATAATTGCCTCTCTCTCTCTCTCTCTCTCTCTCTCTCTTTCATTTTCCCTTCTTTTAAGGGTTGAATTTGTCTCTTTGTAAGGCTATTATTATTCTTTGACAATCTATATTAAAACTTAAATATATTTTAATTTTAGTAGAAATGCCAGTAATTTTTAGTTAATGACTTAATGGAGCCCTGACGAAAGTTGAGAGAGTGAGGTGTTTGTGTTAACCTAATCATTTTTTCCATATGTCTGTGAAATGTTGAAACCTTATAGGAGGTCCATATATTTAACTCCACAACAATATTGTCATCATAAATCAGTTTTGAAACACTTAGCAAGTTCTTTATAATGGAATGAACTATGAAAACGTCACTAAGCTTAAGCAATTTTAAGTGTTAATATTTAATATAGTGTTACAATAATTAGAGAT